CTATTCATTATATATGAAAACTGATATATATATATATATATATTGTCTGTTCTATGGTCGGGTTGTTGTCTCTTTGACACATTCCCCATTTCCATTCTCAATTTTATATATATATATATATTTGGGGTGGGGGGGGGTTCGTTTTGAAATTCAAATACCATTTTTCTTTTATCTGAACATTTTATATCTGAATACAAGTTAAGAATTTGTCAGATGCTCGACAAAAAGACTGCATGTTATAGACTGGGGATGTTTTATTGAGATAGCGTCCACCGTTTCCAAAAAAACGAGGGATCAAAAGGGGGTCAAAGGCCAAACATATTGAACTTCTTCATTTTTGTCGAGCCTTCGACTTAAGTCGAAAAAGCGAGACATAGCGATCCTACATTCCGTCGGCGTCGTCGTCGTCGTCGTCGTCGGCGGCGTCCACAAATATTCACTCTGTGGTTAAAGTTTTTGAAATTTTTTAAATAACTTTCTTAAACTATCCTGGATTTCTACCAAACTTGGACAGAAGCTTGTTTATGATCATAAGATAGTATCCAGAAGTAAATTTTGTAAAAATAAAATTCCATTTTTTCCGTATTTTACTTATAAATGGACTTAGTTTTTCTGCAGAGAAATATTACATTCACTCTGTGGTTAAAGTTTTTAAAATTTTAATAACTTTCTTAAACTATCCTGGGTTTGTACCAAACTTGGACAGAAGCTTGTTTATGATCATAAGATAGTATCTAGAAGTAAATTTTGTAAAAAAATAAATCCATTTTTTCCGTATTTTACTTTTAAATGGACTTAGATTTTCTGCCAGGAAACAACACATTCACTCTGTGGTTAAAGTTTTTAAAATTTTAATAACTTTCTTATACTATTTTGGATTTGTACCAAACTTGGACAGAAGCTTGTTTATGATCAAATGCTAGTATCTAGAAGGAAATTTTGTAAAAAAATAAATCCATTTTTTCCGTATTTTACTTTTAAATGGACTTAGATTTTCTGCCAGGAAACAACATATTCACTCTGTGGTTAAAGTTTTTAAAATTTTAATAACTTTCTTACACTATTTTGGATTTGTACCAAACTTGGACAGAAGCTTGTTTATGATCAAATGCTAGTATACGTATCTAGAAGGAAATTTTGTTTTCTTCCAGTTAACATTACATTCAGTCTGCAGTTAAAGTTTTTAAACATTTATTAGATTCATAAACTATCCTGTATTTTTACCAAACTTGGACAGAAGCTTCTTACAATCAAAAGATAGTATCAAGAGGAATATTTTTATTGATTTACTTCCTCATTTTTGTTGAGCCTGCGATTAACAGAAAAAGTAGGCGAGACACTGGGTTCCGGGGAACCCTTACGAATTTTTATTTATGTTATGATGAGTACATGTAGGAAAGGACAGTGAATTTTACCATTTTGTAGCCATTTTAATGTCCAGCAAATTACTGTGTCAAGCTCAAAATTGTGTCCGCATTCACTTTTAATGCACACTTGTTCATATTGTTTCCCTTGTTGACATGCTGCGGTCGGCGTGTCCTTTTATTTATTTGTGTGTGTGGGGGGGGGGGGGGGTCCGAAGATCTTCGGTCTCACTTCTATCCCTTCCTTATAAATAGGTAAATTAGACAGCAGAGGAGAAAAAATTCGTGTGATTAAAGAAATTATAAAACCGCTAGCATTGTTTTATTATGTTTTGTCAAAGTTGAGGTCTGGTATAAGTTTTTATGCATATTATGTGTTGTCTAATTCATCATTGGGTAATTTAATCAGTGGCGGATCCAGAGGGGGGCGTCGAGGGCGTACGCCCCCTTTTGCTCGGGCTTTTTTTTTGTTATCGATATATCAGACTAGACTTCGTGAACTTTGCCATTTCCCTTGTACTCTAGGGTCTAATTTTTATGCGATCATCCTTTACTTATAAAGATATTTTCGCTGGAATTTACTGATTGTCAAAGTCATGTGATTCGCTATGGTGGAGTTGACCAGTACGTCAAAAAACCGTCTCTCAGTCATTTTGAAATTCAAATTACAGTAACACATAGGCTAAAGATGACAATCATGACACCTTCAAAGCGACAAAAGATTGAGCAAGAACATATTGACTTCTATTTCACTATTCCATCAAACAGAAAGTAATACTCTATAGACTATTATACTCTCATGAAAAAAAGTTCCACAGCAATATTATTTATCTACGAAAACATGTTTAACCCCAAACACCCCAGCCTTTTTAAAATAACATAGATGAATAATGATCCCCAGTCAGTATAAGCTCTAGATATATGTAAAGTCTAAGGTTGACTCTGATTTTTGCCTTAAACAAAAATTCTGGGTGTATCCGGATTGAAAACAATAATCTTCTTGTACATTGTTTTTGCTACTAGACACGAAAATTTCTGACAGTATTATTCAGCATTAAATAAACATGATGAATAAAAACGGGAATATTTTTTTGGGGCAGGGGTTTGCATGTCCGAACGGAATGTCTGTTTCGCCGAACTGACATATTAAATACTTTTTTCAAGACCAGACTGCAACCTGTCTGCTGGGTGTGGCCTTCATGTCTCTATTTGTCGACCGTCATTCATAAATTCGTTGTCATTTCAGACTCATTCGTAGACTTTGGTTGATTTGGAACCCCTCACTTGTCTTAATTCTGTTGGGTGAAACATATCAACCAAATATTTGACTTAAAATTGCATGTTTGTCTTTTGTTTACAACAAGAAATCTGTCAGGTTATGATAACTTAACCTACAACAAAACGGCGAGAATTTTCCATGACTATTTTTTACTGACAAGTCCCACATCACATTTATCAGTTCACAGCTATGGATCCATACTATCATTTTATGATAGACATCAATAGAGAGAATACAGCATCGAAAATGTCCAAGCCTTACACTTTACAGCAACTACAAAATATAAATGCCCAATGCCAGAAACCGTTTTTAAAAAGTGCATATTACACTTATTTTATGTTTTTAAAATACTTTTTATCTCTAAAAAGGTCCAAAAAAATTTTCGCCTCGCTCCGCTCGGCAATCTTTAAAAATTTCGCCCCCTTTCCAAAATCCTGGATCCGCCACCGGTTAATTAACAATTTACATTACGGCTAATTGTTAAACAAGTAATACTCATATACCATCCTTTGCTTCATAATACACAACATATAGTCCCTGGTTCCGTGTGGACTCGTGTGTGCACTTCAAATATTATTATATGCAAATCACTTAAAGCCAAACAAAAAAGTATGTGTGTTTACTGTCACATGCTGAAAAAAATAGGGTAGGTAGGTATAGGTTTTTTTAAAAAATTTTATTTATTTTTTTACATTGAGTCTATGGAAGCAACATTGTGACTTTAACGGTGCTTAATCAAAAATGGTAAAAAAACTTTAGGGTAGGGGATAAAAATTAGAGTAGGTAGGGGTACAGTAAATGCACATACTTTTTGTTTGGCCTTAGCTATAATCATCACATCCACTTTAATACTTTAGACCTTTTTCAGTCTGTCAGCGAGAGGTCATGGTTTACACACAAAAAGTCTCCAAATCTGCTTTCATTATTATTAATTTATTGCTATGGATGAGCTTATTTTAGGTGGTCGCCATTTTGTCTCTGTACTGTGTTTTATTGGTTCTACCAGGGACTTCTATATAGTCCCTGGTTCCGCAGAAGGGGTTTTCCATTCATTTTAGTTTTTTTTTGCAATGTCTTGGGAGTGTAATGACTCGATCTACCTTAAACTATGTATTATTTTAATAATCACTTGGATAATTTTAATGTATAGTTTGCATAACAATATCAAAATAGCTATTCAATTAACTTTAAACTCCGTTGCGACAAAAGCTGCATCAAGAGAACCTCTCCACAATTGGTGAATTCTTTGGTTATACTCAGTACTGTCGTATCTAAGTCATGATCGGAAACTAAGGAAAAGTTCTGTTTGCTCAAATTGTAAGCTCTCATGTGTCGGTAGAGCGTGCTTTCCGATAAATTGAACATTCCACTTATGTCTTTGATCTTAAAGTTTATCTCTAACAAAGATTCCAGTGTCTCCTTCGGAATGATAAATTTGTCATTATGTTCCAATACAATGTCACTGTAATGGCAGCACATGATTCTCAACTCCATCATCTTAGCACGGCTACTGAGACCTAGTTCAAGGAAATCTTTCTGAGACAGTTTAGAAATAATGTCCGGAGTTATGATATTTTCTCTTTCAAAATTCTGCTTCAAATTATTCAAACCAGCTCTTTGGAGAATTTCATCCATTTTAAAAACCAAAACATCAACAACACTTTGGAAAAATATGCCAACAAAATTGCCCGACTTCGTTTCAACTCGGAATATTTCGGTTTTACTTACCCGAAGTCTTGGATAATTTTAATGTATAGTTCCACCACCACATGATGAAAAAAGCACTGAATATAATCGATTAACCACTTAGTATAATATTTATTGAACCGAACATAAAACATTTTGACCACTGATCATAAAGTTGTTTGTACTGAACATAATATTTATTTTACAGAACATAATGATCAGTCTACAGAACATAATATTTATTTCACTCAACATAATGATAACAGTACTGATTATAAAGTGTGTTTGACCACTGAATATTTCGGTTTCTGTAGTCAACATAATGAGAAATCTACATAATATAAAAATATGTTGACAGAAGATATTTTCAAAAGTACTGAATATAAAGACAAATCTACTCAATAGAATAATTTACCTACTGAACATAAAGCCAAAACTGCTAAGTATATTGATTAAAGTGCTGAATATAATACCAGATCTGCACAATATAATGATTATTCTACTGATCATTATGATGTTACTGCTCAACATAATTGTTATACTACTGAACATAATGAAAAGGGCACTCATAATCGAGAAAAAACCGCTGAAAATAATTAAATGATCACAGCATATACTAAATATGAACAACGGAAGACAGCTATGGCGTTCCATATGATTAAATCGGATTTGTTAATTACAGGTGCTTGTCCGTGTGAAAGCTGGTAAGAGATATCATTTAAATGTTTCTGAAGAGCCACCAAGTGAACGCAGTTTGAGAGAGGTATATACTATCACAATAATGTTTTCGAAACTATGTATTATAAACACTAAATTTCTTTTCATGCCTTACTTAGTTGTCAAAAATGAAAAATAGTTAAAAAATGAGATGCTGAATAAATATAAAGGAAACCGACACACATAGCGTCACAATAATCATAATATGTGAAGTGTCCAGTATGATACATTAAAATAGCATCCACATTGTATGTCTATCTAAAACCAATACCTAAGTATCAACAGACAGAGACCTATGAAGACGTTCACTGATGAGTTGAAAATTTATATGTGACGGGGTTGAGGTTTTTTTTCTAAATGTCTAATTTTATTATTTACGGTAATTGAAATTAAGCACAGAAGAATGGATTAGATATTTTAAGAATTAATTTTATACATGTAGGTAATCAATATTTTTATTTTGTTGTCAAAATTGATGCATAGAGCTTTTGCTCTATGTATAAAGTTTTATATTTCAGTAGGAAAAAAAACTGGATACTTCTTCTCTGTATACAGATGCATCATGTTCTGAAGTTTCCAGCTGACATATGTCCATTGCTTTTCCTCATATTTAGCTCACATGGCCCCGTTATAAAAATAGAAAATCTGGTATGACAAAAATGTTAAATATGCTGAGCTCTACCAATAGTTACCTTTTTTATTTGCGTATTGCAATTGCCTTATATGATAAAAGTTTTAATAGATAAATAAACACTTTAAATCACAAAAATGACCAGCAAGGCAAGATCTACTAACAAGTCAAATTTTGCTGATGTAGTTATTAGACTGTCACTCTTAATAGGTATAAAACCACTAATTCATAGCCCCATTGCTTTCTATGTTAAATTCTGCAATTTCAAGCATTATTGGCTACTTTGTCTTAAGTTCAAATAAAGTGGCAGTCATTTCATGTCCAAACTATACCTTATCCTGACTAGTGCCGGAAAATTCAACATACGTTTAATTGCATATAAGGGCGTACTAGGTACCGGAAGTTTGATAGTACAAAAACATGTACTTCTTATCTGAACAACAGGGCAAATGTGCCCTCCTATTATAATTTTATATTTTACAAGGGTTCTACAGTGATCCCAAGTCCCCAAGCTTTCATTTGATACCAAAACTACCCAAATATTTCACCTGTTGACAAAGATACAGCTATGCGTAGGAACTATTTTGTTTAAAAAAGATGTACTTTCTTGTATATTCTATCCGACTGGGCCTGAATTAGTGGTTCTTTACCGGAGTGATTGCCCTAAAATGAGGATTTTTTACCCTCTTTTGTGTTTTGAGCAAATACTAAAGAAGATAGAGAGAAACTAGACAGATTAAATGGTCAGCAATCCAAGATCAACAAAACAGAGATTTTCTTCGTGAATTCTATTCTCGTCTACAATGTTGGAGAGTGTCTTTTGTTGAATATTCACATAGACCAAGGTGAGCGACTCAGGCTCTTTAGAGTCACTAGTTATGTTTAAGCACCTGCTTGAAAGACTTACGTGATTTTTGTCGAGCCTGCAACTTTTGTTGCAGAAAGTTCGATATGGGGATAGTGATCCAGCGGTGACGGCGGAGTTAACTAACTTCTTGATATTTCAGAAAGTAGAAGACCTGGATGCTTCATACTTTGTATATAGATGCCTTATGATATGAAGTTTTTTCTGTCGTATGTCCAGTGTTCTTGACCTCATTTTCATTGTTCAGTGACTACTTGAAAAAAAAGTTAAGATTTTTTGTAATGTTAATTTCTCTCTTATTATGAGTAATAAGATAACTATATTTGGTATGTGCGTACCTTGCAAGGTCCTCATGCCTGTAAGACAGTTTTCACTTGACCTTGACCTCATTTCATGGATCAGTGAACAAGGTTAAGTTTTCGTGGTCAAGTCCATATCTCAGATACTATAAGCAATAGGTCTACTATATTTGGTGTATGTAATGATTGTAAGGTGTACATGTCCAACTGGCAGGTGTTATCTGACTTGACCTCATTTTCATGGTTCATTGCTTATCTTAAGTTTTTATGTTTTGGTCTGTTTTTCTAATATGGGGTGGAAAACATGTAGGTCAACTATATTTGTTGTGAGGAAATATTTTACGATGTACTTGTCAGTCTGGCAGGTTTTATTTGACCTTGTCCTCATTTTTACGATTCATTCCTCAATGTTTAGTTTTTGTGTTTTGGTCTGTTTTTCTAATACTGTATGCAGTAGGTCAACTATATTTGTTTTATGGAAATATTTTACGATGTACATGTCAGTCTGGCAGGTTTATTTGACCTTGACCTCATTTTCATGGTTCATTGCTTATCTCAAGTTTTTGTGTTTTGGTCTGTTTTTCTAATACTGTATGCAATAGGTCAACTATATTTGTTGTATGGAAATATTTTACGATGTACATGTCAGTCTGGCATGTTTTATTTGACCTTGACCTCATTTTCATGGTTCATTGCTTATCTTAAGTATTTGTGTTTTGGTCTGTTTTTCTTAAATTTTAAGCAATTGGTCAACTATCTTTGGTGTATGGAATGATTGTATAAAGCTGTATATGTCTGTCTGGCAGGTATAAGCTGACCTTCACTTCATTTTCATGGTTCATTGGTCAATATTCAGTTTTCCTGATTAACTTTGTTTTTTAGATACTATTAGCAATAGGTCAACTATATTTGAGGCATGGAATGATCGTAAGCTGTATATTTCTGTCTGGCAGGTATCATCTGACCTTCACTTTATTTTCATGGTGCATTGGTCAATATAAAATTTTTGGTTTGGTCTGTTTCTTTTATACTATAAGCAATAGGTCATCTGTATTCTGTGTATGGAATGATTGTATTAAAGGTTTACATGTATTTCCGGCTTGGTGTGATATTTGTAGTAAAACTTTATATGTAGGACTATCAACATAAAATCAGTGGTTAGTATAGTAGGCAAGATATTTCAGTGTGTGCACTCTTGTTTTTCACCTGGCCTAAAAGGCCACGTGAGCATTAGTCATCACTTGGCTTCGGTTGTCTACTAATGTGCGTCGTCACAGATTAATAGAAAACAATGGTGGTATTTCTCCTAAATGGGAATCTGTACTTCCACATTTGACCTTGTATGTAATTCAATTTCAAAATTTCATGCTTTTTCACTGAAATATTGCAAAAGTGGAATATTCTGAGTGGATTTAGTCTTAAAAAAGAACAAAAAAAGAAGTTTCCTTGTAATAGGGATATACCATGAACGATCTGTTATATAAAAATATTAGGAGGCAGAGCAAGCCATATTCAGTGTTTTGTATGGCAAGCCATTTTATTATTTATTTCGAACTTCAAGATATCTCATATATAATATATAAGATATCTTATAAACTTTATAAGATATATCTTATACTTTATAAGATATCTTATATACTTTATAAGATATCTTATATACTTTATAAGATATCTTATATACTTTATAAGACATCTTCTAAAGTATATAAGATATCTTCTAAAGTATATAAGATATCTTATAAATATTTTTTTATATAACATATCTTATATACTTTATAAGATATATTATAAAGTTTATAAGATATCTTATATAAGATATCTCATATAATTTAAAAGATATCTTATAAATTATATTAGAGATATCTTATAAACTATGTAAGATATTTCATAAATTATATGAGATATCTTATATAATATATGACATATCTTATATAATATATGAGATATCTTATATAATAATATATTAGATATATCATATAATGTATAAGATATCTTATATAATTAGTTTTAATAAGATATCTTATTTTTATATGAGATATCTTGTATATTATATAAGATATCATATATATTTTATGAGATATCTTATAAAGTTTATTAGATATTTTGAAGTTGGAATAAATAGTAAAACAGCTTGCCATAGTTTTGGGGAGTTTTCTGACTCTTTCTCCCTATTTACTATATTGGGCTATAGCAGTGATTTTTTCTTAGTAAATCTTTACGAATATACAGTGATAAGTAAATGAAATGATTTTCGATGCACTTATAAAAAATATTTACTAATAGGAAACCATTATGTCTCTCTCTCTAGAACGCAGCGTAAACGTACTTTTTACGTAATGACTTATGGAAACCTCCGTTGAGTCGGTCAAGTTCTTAGGGATAGTTTATTCAGCTTGAACACTTCAATAACTCATTTATTATCACATGTCTTAAATTTATGTGTTGAAGTTACCCCATAATTATTATATATTAGCGTAAAAAGTTCCTTTTTTTTTATTATTTGAGGGGACAACAATACCACCAAAACATAGTACGTAATATCTGCCTTAATGTTAGAGTAGGGAAAAACATTCCGATTTTGACGGTGTTCCTTCAAAATATTTTAGAAACTTTGAAAAAGTATTTCAAATAACCAGATTATGTAAACAACAACAATGATCAGTATACAAGATCTTCAAAAATGACAATTATAACCTGAGACCATTTAATGACCCTATAAGGAGTTCTAGCCATAAATAACTATTTTTGACTAATTGTCATGTTTTTCTTGAAAACTACAATAAATAAGAGCAAAAACAATTAGTAAATACAAGATGTACAGAAAGTTATTGCCAATAAATGACGGTTTTTCACAAATTCGTTGTTTTTTGTCAATTCTCTCAAAAAGAATGATAGAAACTTTCAACAGCAAAAGTTACCTGATACAACATCTACAAAAGTTGAAATATAACCAGAATAATAAGGTGACTTTTAAAGAGGTATTGACCTTAAATGACAATTTCCATCTCGCTTTGATGTAGTAAAAAAAAAACGAGACTTGGGCTTGCTGCGACCGACATGTGCCGTGAGTTGGTGTTTGTCATCAGCTGTTCGTCGTTAATCATCCATTCTTAATATTAATTATTTTGGTTTTGAATATTATATATTCATAACATTTTGATGGAATACTGGTCATATATAGTTTCTATAGAATGGATGCAAGTATATTCATTGTGGACGTAAAGCAACATCCTTTCATAGGGTCGATAAGAATATTTATCCATTTCATAGATGCACTGTTACCCTTAATTCCATCATGCACACTATTATATATTTATCTCTTATATCATATTGTAATGCACCCACCGTAGGCAAAGGGGACATTAAGTGTTTCCCTTGAACGTCTGTCCTTCGGTCCGTCCGTTCTTTCGTCCTTCCTTCCGTCTGTCCTTCCATCCGTTCTATTTTCGTTTCCACACTCTAACTTAAGTTTGCTAAGTGCAGATTTTATGAAACTAGTACATAATACATAGAACCAGAACTCCCAGACATTATTTGAATTTGGACAATGAGTCGCTTACCGTTTTATAGTTAAGCCCCTTTATAATTTAGACAGTTGCGTTTTTTTTTTTTCGTTTCTGCACTCTTACCTGAAGTTTGCATCATGCAAATTTTATGAAACTCATATACAATGCAAAGAACTAAATCTCGTAGACAGAGAGAGTTCGAACTTAGTTGGTGTTATCCCTAATAACTTGGACAGTTGCAATTTTGCCTCATGCAAATTTTTATGAAACTCATACACAATGCTAAGAACCACAAAACACAGACAGAGTTCGAATTTGGGCAGTGAATCATTTACCGTTATAGAGGTACAAAAAATGCATGCCCCTTTTTAACTAGGAAAATTGCAAGCCTTTGCAGGGTCATTCGTGTCTTCAGACACATTCTTCTTTTATTATTATTTCTTAAATCATTCAACTCAATATTGTTCAAACTTTTTAAGTCATCAAACCATGATTAAACGTGGTGAAAAGTAAAATAACAAAAATACCAAACTCCGAGGAAAATTCAATGGCTCAAATGGCAAAATCAAAAGCTCAATCACATCAAACGAATGGATAACAACTATCATATTCCTGACTTGGTACAGGCATTTTCTTATGTAGAAAATAAGTATTTTCTGCAGTTTTCAATGACTAAATAATCCAACCCGTCATCAGGTATAACTGATAAATTCAGTTACAAACAGAGAAATTGTATCATGCATTTGTCATGTAAAGGACAGATGCTACCAAAATTTGGTAAATAATACATTTAAAATTTTCTAAAAATAATTTTTGATATTCCTATATGAAACATAAATCAAATGGAATATTATCATTTAAAATTTTACTGGACCGGGACAAAATAAAATTTGCGTTTTACTGGACCGGGACAAAATAAAATTTGCTTTTTACTGGACCAGGACAAAATAAAATTTGTTTTTTACTGGACCAGGACAAAATAAAATTTGCGTTTTACTGGACCAGGACAAAATTAAAGTTGCTTTTTACTGGACCAGGACAAAATAAAATTTTCGTTTTACTGGACCAGGACAAAATAAAATTTGCTTTTTACTGGACCAGGACAAAATAAAATTTGCGTTTTACTGGACCAGGACAAAATAAAATTTGCTTTTTACTGTACCTGGACAAAATATTGCTGAAATGTTTCTCATGCATAATGTTTTTTCTAATCATTTTAATTGAGCCAGATTTAGTTTTAGATGTTTTTATAATCATTTTGATTGAGCCAGATTTAATTTTAGATGTAACATACGGGCACTTGAATTTTAGTTTAAATTTTAAGTTGCTTTGCATTGAGGAGTTGACTAAGTTTACTGAACATCGAATTAATAAAACAAATCAGTTATTACTTGAGCCATATTCTCGATTATGTTGGCCTTGTACATATTTTACGTATCAAATGTTTACTTTAATCTTTTTTTCAGTTTACCAAAGAAGAGATCAATTTTACAAAGATGGGAATAATTGTGCTGAATATTCTTACTGATGCTTCATATGACCTATTAAAACAAGATATACCAAATCTACGTCCAAGGAGCGACTGTGATATAACATACTTGTACCAGGAGCACTTCAAACTAAGAAAACATGCTCCATCTAATGGATGGGGAGGGAAATGGCAGAAAATTCAGGTCACAAACATAGCTGTTGGAGATGATATTGAGCGCATAAGACTTACAAGGAATGAACTATAACACTCAACGACAGCTGAACTTGGAGATACACGTTTTAATCAGTTGTGTAACATATTAACTGAACTCTTAAAACGGTAAGACCACTATAACAAACCACAAAAGCTGTATACAGATGAGCTTAAGGATATTTTGGCTAAAACTATTACAGATGAGGATGTGAAATCAGTTAAAAATGATTTACCGGGTAAATATGCTTCAAACAGTTTGAAGTTGCGCTCAAAGTTTATAAGGGTTTTATCCAGACTATAAAGTATGAGTCATGTGAATGTGCAGACTTTATAAGTATTATCTAATAAAACACTCAATTTTATGTCTTTCAAATATGAATATATTTCGGGTAAAGAGGAGGTTCCATTGAATGATAGTCACCATAGCTTCTTTTTCTACTGGTCCAGTAAACAGGGGTATTTCTGTAAAACTTTGATTTTTTAAAGTAAAATGTCAAACAGCTGCATATTTTATCTTTGGATTTGTGAATTATTTTATTTTTATTTTCAGAAATGACTGTTGAAGTCGAAATAGAACAACAATTTAGTGTTCCAATGCATTAGAGAAATAAAGTTGTTCTCATCATTTGTATGGCAAACAGTTATTTTACTATAGAAACAGATTTGCAAAAGACCAATCCCTTGTGGATAGAAGGCGATCATCTTTATATCTAATCATGTTAATAGCAATGTAATGCTGCCGATAAAAATCAGACAATCATGTAGAGTAACTCTACCTTATTATACTTGTCACAGGGTTTGTTCTTACATGAGCAACAGGACGGGTGCCACTAGTGGAGCAGGATCTGCTTACCCTATTGAAGCACCTGAGATCCCCCAAAGTTTTGGTGGGGTTCTTGTTGCTCAGTCTTTAGTTTTCTATGTTGCGTTTTGTTTACTGTTGTTTGTCTGGTTACACTCCATTATTCCGACAGCCAATTAGTCCGACAGCTCAGTGGTCCGACGGCCCATTAGTCCGACAGCTCAGTGGTCCGACGGCCCATTAGTCCGACAGCTCAGTGGTCCGACGGCCCATTAGTCCGACAGCTCAGTGGTCCGACGGCCCATTAGTCCGACAGCTCAGTGGTCCGACGGCCCATTAGTCCGACAGCTCAGTGGTCCGACGGCCCATTAGTCCGACAGCTCAGTGGTCCGACGGCCCATTAGTCCGACAGCTCAGTGGTCCGACGGCCCATTAGTCCGACAGCTCAGTGGTCCGACGGCCCATTAGTCCGACAGCTCAGTGGTCCGACGGCCCATTAGTCCGACAACTCAGTGGTCCGACGGCCCATTAGTCCGACAGCTCAGAGGTCCGACGGCCCATTGTTCCGACAGCCAATTGGTCCGACAACCCATTAGTCCGAAAACCCATTGATCTGACAGCCCAATAATCCGACAACCCATTAGTCCGTCACTTAGAAATAATCAATGCGCGGTATCAGGGTAAAAGAAAATATGTCTGTCTGTATTATAACGTATATGTCATTACATATCATGTACAGAAATAATTCCATATATATTATATAGATCTATATACGTGTTCGAATACTTTTCATATACATTGTACCTAATTTAAATTTGTGTATAGAGGTCTATTTTTCAATTTCGTGCCTTTTCGTATATACAGAAATCGTGTGAATATTAAAAGAATTCAAAAAACGAATATACATGTACATCTAACTATTTCCGTTTGGATAGACTTGTATATACGGAATTATGATGTACCCCCGTAACATTCTGTGCATACGTAAATACAGACTATGCAGAATTATAATTACATATATATTTAAACATATATGAATAATTCTAATAACGTTATACAGGGAATTATTTATACAGATTTTCGTCAAACTATTTTCTACTAGTTAGGCAAGGTCATAATGTGGTTTGCTTTATAAAATACAGAATCTATTCTGTATATTGGATACTGTGAAGCTCCAATATGGCCAAATCTGAACCGACACCTTAGAAATTAGGTGGGCGTTTTGTCTTTTTCTTATTTTGCCATGGCATTGTCAGTTTATCTTTGACTTATGAGTTTGAATATCTATTTGGTATCTTTCGCCTCTCTTTTATAAAGAAATTGTCAAGATAAAAAAAAGTGGACTAAAGAGGAAATTTTGTAATAAAATTGACAACTGGACCAAGTTTGGTCTGTTATAGTAAATGATAGCAAGGTGTAATTGTCTTTGTGACAGAGTTCATCTGACCTTGACCTCATTTACATAGATCATTGATAATGTTGATGTATGTGATACTTGTTGTAAAGCCTTTTTCTATAAGACTTTCTATATAAATTCAGTCATGGTCAGTAAATTAAAGCAGGCTAGACATTTATACGAGTGCTATCTTGTTTTTTTTCCTTCTCTAAACCTACATCTTTCGCCACTAGAAAAAAAACATATTTGCTCACAATTTCTAAACATATTACATATACATTGTTGGCAATTCAGAATACACTATAGAATATTATTATGGACTACAGCTAACTTTCCAATCAACAATACCAATAATATATAAGGAACTATCACAAATAAAAGCTTATACATCGTCATCTTCATCATCGTCAGTGTTTCTTACAGCAACCAGATGGCCGCAGGGTTTCCGCTGGCTTGCGAAAAAAAAAATAAAATTGTGGCGATTAAAATTCATTTTGGCAAAACAAACATAACCATTCGAAGTCAAATTTTCACAATTTTTCGTACATTTGTGTAATCTTTTACAAATATCTTCTCTGAAATTACTTGGCCAAGTTAAAGCAAACTTGGCCTAAATCATCCTTAGGGTATCTAGTTTAAAAAATGTATCTGGTGACTGCTCACCAACCAAGATGGCGAAAAATGTATCTGGTGACTGCCCACCAACCAAGATGGCGAAAAATGTATCTGGTGACTGCCCACCAACCAAGATGGCGGCCATGGCTAAAAATAGAACATGGGGGTAAAATGCAGTTTTTGGCTAATATCTCTGAAACCAAAGTATTTAGAGCAAATCTGACATGAGGAAAAAATGTTCATAAAGGTCAAGATCTATCTGCCCTGAAATTTTCAGACGAATCAGACAACTCGTGGTTGGGTTGCTGCCCCTGAATTGGTAATTTTAAGCAAATTTTGCAGTTTTTGGTTATTATCTTGAATATAATAATAGATAGAGATAAACTGTAAACAGCAAAAATGTTCAGCAAAGTAAGATCTACATTGTACAAATAAGTCAACATTACCAAAATTGTCAAATTGACCCTTACAGAGTTATTGCCCTTTAAAGTCAATTTTTCACACTTTTTTGTAAATTTTTGTAATCTTTTACAAAAATCATCTCCTGAAATTACTGGGCCAAGTTAAAAAATCTTCTGCTTTTAATTTAACTACTGGGCCAAATTAAACCAAACGTGGCATCAATCATTATTAGGGTATCTATATGATGTTAACCGTATTTTACATGAGTTCCAAAACCACAGTAGATACAGGTGAGCGACACAGGCTCTTGAGAGCCTCTACTTCGGGTTTCTCGGACTTTACCTGATCAGACCATATTCGGAATTCACTTTGAACTCGTTACGATTTTGATAGAAAGTCTATAATCAGCTGATAGCATTTTATAGCTGTAGGCAACAATGGACTAACACTGGACACTTTTAATTTGCAAAACACTCATTTGCAAATCCGCCGCCGCCTCTCCTTAGACCTACAGTGTCGTGTAAATAACCAAAATGTGCGGAATTACATGGGATTCAATAATTTCATTGCTTTTCTGCTGTTTTTATTATATATATTTTGTAATTTGATTTAGAAAAACATGGGATTTTCAATATCCCATGGGATAAGGCAAATCCCATGGGATTGACCATTATCCCATGGGATTTTGGTTAAATCCCATAGGATTTTTTTGGGTCCCATGGGATAATTGTAGTCCCATGGGATATTTGTTGTCCCATGGGACTATAATTATCCCATGGGATTTTTAATATCCCATGGGATTTTTAATATCCCATGGGACAAAATAAAATCCTATGGAATTCAAATTATAAATATACAGTAATGCATATGTTAAAATGAATTCTGTTTGGTAGTAAAAAGTTAATAATATATATGTGAGTGTATTTTGGTTTTTTTCCATTTTGTCACAAACATGTTTTTAATTTGTTTATATGACAATAAAGATTATTATTATTTTGGAAATATAATAATATTTAAAGTCAAAAAATAAAATCCTTTAACTGAAATAAAATGATGACGTCTTAATAAAAGAAAAAAATATTGATTTGAAATCTTTGTCTTCTTTGTTTTATTATGAAAAATAGAACTGAAAAAAATATTTCATATTCTGACTGAATAAATTGACAAAGCACAGTTAATAGTTTACTCTTTTCATGAGGTAAAGTTGTCTTTGTTATAGTTTCATTGCAATACATGAATATGCAAACGATTTGAATCTTATTCCTTTGTGGTGTTCATAATATTACATTTATATTTGTAAATTTATAAAATAAACACTTTTCCTGTTAAGTTTTAGTTTTCTTGTTTCAGCTTGCTATGAACAATTATTCAGTCCACTATATAAGAGTCAAGTAAATAAATTATTTCATCCACTAGAATATTCCTACAATTCTTAGATAAAACATTTTTGCAATCTGTTCTTCAAAAATCTTCCTCCGTACATCTTTATTGGGTGGAGCGATTTAAATGAGTGGACAAAGCAAGTTCATTTGGACAACCAAATACTAATATATTTTTTCATTCCTCCCTTCTTTCAATTGATAATTACGTTGTTGCATTTACATGATTAAGTTCTTGAGCATCTATGATCATGATGATATGACTCCTTTTTATTTATAGTCATTATGTTGAAATTTCCTTTTTCTTATGTAGGAAAAAAACACATTCCATTTCAAATTAATAAAAAAGTCACACTATGTAGAAAAATATCAACTTTAAGTTTGCTGTTCAGTATTGACCTGTTGAATGATGATCATGAAAACCAAGATGTCTGACCTACAAATACACAAAACTCAAAAATTATAAATGAAGAGAAATACAGCAATAAAATGGCTATTTTATCATGTTTATGTTCATTTTGATAAAAATTTCATTTGAATATTTAAAATTGTAAGAACTCTTCTTTCAGTGCTTTGTGTCTATGGTTTTCATATTAGCTGTTTTTTGTGCCTTGTTGCAGTCTTTTGAGTTAAGCCAATTGCAACAAATGTTTACAGTTTGTTCAAATGTTGTGCTGTTATTAAAACCACTGTCCAAGGTTAGGGGTGGGTTGGGTGCTCACTAAATGTTTATTTTATTAGTTGATATTTGCTTTGAATTAGCGGTCAGTAACTGTGAGTACTAATAGATCTGTATGTTGAGTCTTTTTTGTTAAAGGGAAAGAATAAATTTCCAGCCACATCCGGTCTGTGTTTTTGGTAGCTGTTTTTCTGCTTTGTTGCATTCTAATGAGTTAATAAAATTGAGAATGAAAACGGGAATGTATCAAAATAACCTGACCCAAGAGCAGAAAAAAAACCTTTTCAACTGATTTTATAGTTTTTTTATTGAACTGACACTTACACCACTGTCCTTAATTAGAGGAGGATTTGGCGCCAGCAAACATGTTAAACCATGCCACATTTTGTAAGTGTCTGTCCCAAGTCAGGGGTCTATTATTCAGTGGTTGCCAATTGTTGCTATATATCATATTTGTTTTTTGTTTATTGTTTTGTGCAAAAATAAGGCACTTAGCTTTCACCTTTGTGGTGTTTCACCCAAGCATGTTTAGCATGGATAGACACCATGCCCTTTTTAAATGACGCCATGCCCTTATTGAATTGTTTTACATTTGTTATTTCATGGCCTTTTATGGATTACTATGCAGTATAGGGTTTGCTCATTGTCGAAGGCTGTACAGTGAACTAATTTTGTTAAATTTAATGTCATTTGATCTCTATTGGAGAAAAGTCTCATTGGCAATCGTACCGCTTCTTATTTTTATATCAACCCTGCCATATTTTTCCTGTCATTATTTACAGGTCATCATTAGCCTCTAATAAGTAATTGCATTGCTTACATCCACTTAATTGAACTCTGGTGGATAGTTTTCTCATTTATCATACCACATCTTATTTTCATAATAATCATTATTCAAGGGCAATAACTTTTATAGAAGTGGACTTACCATTTAGGCTTTGTTGACGTCTGTAAATCTATTTTTGTTGATAATTTCTTTTGTTTATAGTTTCCCTTTATCTTTAATGTTCTTGCCCTACACATAAAAGGGTAAACATTATCATTTAATGACAATAACTACTATTACATAATGAGTAGGCAACTGACAATTTTGGATCATTTGTATCTTGTCTTGCTCATCATTTTTGCTTGATATTATCAATATTCTATGAAAATGAGGTCACAGTAATATTAAACTTGGCAGACAGACATCTTCTTATTTTTATATGACACCTTGCAGTCATTCCATACACCAACAAGTAGACAGATGCTTATAATATCTGATAAAATGAATAAAATGCTCCGCTGGGCGCAGCTTGATACGACTGCAGAGGTCTAACCCTGAACAGTTGGGGCAAGTATGGACACAACATTCAAGCTTGATACAGCACTGAATTTGGATTGTGATTAAATATTTGACACAGCATAGGTTTCTGACACAGAATGAATGTGGTCTAAGAACTTTAAAAATTTTAATTTACCTATTCAAACCATATCATTATTATTTGCTTTTATATATAAATCAGAAATAACCAATTGAAAATTGAAAATTTTAAAGAAAAAAAAAAGGAAAAAAAAAGGAAAAAAAGGGGGAAAAAAATCCCCCCCCCAAATTTTTTGAACCCCCTTATGATTCATCACCCCAAACTCAATCCCAGCCTTCCCTTTGTGGTATGGTACCTTGCAGTACAATTTCAGAGAGATCCATACACTTGAACACAAGTTATTGTCTGGAAACTAGAAAAATGCTTATTTTTGGCCCCTTTTTACTTAACATTTTGGGCAATTACCCCCAAACTCAATTCCAGATTTCCCTTTGTGATATGGAACCTTGTAGTACAATTTCAGAAAGATCCATACACTTACACACAAGTTATTGTCATGAAACTAGAAAAATTCTTGTTTTTTGCCCCTTTTTTGGCCCCTAATTCCTAAAATTTTACGACAATTGCCCCCAAAATCAATCCCAGCCTTCCCTTTGTGGTATGGTACCTTGCAGTACAATTTCAGAGAGATCCTTACACTTGAACACAAGTTATTGTCTGGAAACTAGAAAAATGCTTATTTTTGGTCCCTTTTTGGCCCCTTATTCCTAAACGTTTTGGGCAATTACCCCCAAACTCAATACCAGCTTTCCCTTTGTGATATGGAACCTTGTAGTACAATTTCAGAAAGATCCATACACTTACACACAAGTTATTGTCATGAATCTAGAAGAAATGCTTGTTTTTTGCCCCTTTTTTGGCCCCTAATTCCTAAAATTTTGAGGCAATTACCCCCAAACTCAATACCAGCCTTCCCTTTGTGATATGGAACCTTGTGGTACAATGTCAGAGAGACCCATACACTAACACACAAGTTATGTCTGGAAGTTACAAAAATGCTTATTTTTGGCCCCTTTTTGGCCCCTAATTCCTTAACTGTTGGTACCATAACCCCCAAAATCAATCCTTATGGTAAAATTTCATAGAGATCCATTCACTTAAACTAAAGTTAGAGTGCGAAAACCAATGTGTCTTCGGATGACGACAACGCCAACGTCATACCAATATATGACCGCAAAAATTTTTTGCGGTCGTATAAAAAAACAAGAAAACTTAGCATTGACCAAAAAACCATAAAATGAGATCATGGTTATATGAATCTGCCAGACAGACATGCACACCTTACAATCGTTACATCCGCCAAATATAATTTACCTGTTGCTAAAAGCATATGATAAACTGACAAAACAATGCAAACTTTTCATTAACCAATGAACCATGAAAATGAGGTCAAGGTCATATAAAACATGCCAGACAGACATGTGCATCTCACAATCATTCCATTCACCAAATATAGGGGCCTTATTCGTGTAATTGCTTACAGTATCCGAAAAAAACCACAAAAACTAAACATTGTCCAATGTACTATGAAAATAAAGTCAAGGTAAGATGAAACTTCTCAGTCAGACATATGCACCTTACAATCATTCCATACACCAAATATAGTTGACCTATTGCTAATTTGAAAATAAGAAAATAGAAAAACTGACCAAAAAAACAAAAAATAACACTGAGCAATGAACCATAAAAATGAGGTCAAGGTCGAATAAAACATGCCAGACTAACATGTACATCCTTAAAAATTTTCATACACCAAATATACTTGACATGTTGCATACAGTATTAGAAAAACTGGACATTTTTACCTAGGAATAGTGATGTCATGGACTAGGAAAATTAGTCTGGGGACATAAATTACTGACATCGGACTAAATATACTAGTAAATTCTGTATCCATGGACTCTTTATACTAGTTATATTTGTCTGACCAGACAATTTATCTCTTACACTAGTCCTCAGAGAGACATGTCACCTTACCTTGACACATTATTCTGACTCTGAACAAACCAGTATTTGCTCTTACTCCTTAATAATACTGCGTGCTTAGGGGAGAAGCAGCAAATACCAACTTTAAAGTCTTTGGTTTTATCCGGTTGGGTTCAAAATAAACAACCTTCTGCACGTGAGGTGAACACGCTACCACGAGAACAGGCAGTATAATATAAGGAGTTTACCCAAGATTTAAAGTTTCCAAGTTTTTGCAAAAACTGGATCAAAATCATCATTGAAAAGCAATAACTTTTTAATAAGATTTAAGTTTCTCTTTAATTATTACAGTTTTCGAGATAAAAAGGCAAATTCAAGAAATATGAAGAAAAAAAAAATGGTTAAAATCTGTATTTAAGGCAACAACTCCTATGAGTCAGCTGCCAGTTTTGATGCAAATGGACAGTAGATTTTTTTTTCAACATTCTGAACATTTCTACCCTTGTCAGATATTGCCTATCTATTTTAGCCTTTTGTAGCTTATAACGCAGTTTGGCTTTTTAGCCCATTGTTGAAATCTGTACAGTGACCTATATAGTTGTTAACTTCTACGTTTTTAGTTTCTGTTGAAGAGCCGTCACATTGGCAATGATACCATATTTGTATATGTTTTTGTCATGTAGGTGTAAGGAGACAACCTTTTGATTTTCTGGTGGGATAAAAAGGGGAGACAGATTTTTTATCACCTGGCCTGGTAAGTTTTTCAGGGTTTTGTAAGGATAGAAAAGCCGGCAAATTGTAACAAACCCCTGTGGTACGACCATATTTGCCAAAAGATTAGTCCAAATAATTATGACGTCTTGCAAAGCTATTTTAACTTTTTTCTGGGCACGTAATAGTCAAAGTTGTGACTGAGTGCGGAAATATGAAGATAGATAGATAGAAAAATATAAAGGGACATAACTGAAGAACGGTAAAAGTGACGCTACCCAAATTTGAACTTGATCTGAGTTTTGTGGTAATAAGCATTGTGTGTAAGTCTCATAACATTTGGTTGAGGCTAACTTAAGTAGAGAACAGAAACTAAAAATTCAGCAATTTTTCTATTTGTAAACACGCATAACTCTAGAACGGTTGTGTATAGTTTTATAACAATTGGTTGAGACAAACTAAAGTTAGAGAACGGAAACGAAAAATTCAGCAATTTTTATGTTTATAAAGGGACATTACTCAAGAATGATAAAAGTGTCGCCACCAAATTTCGTACTTAATCTGTATTATGTAGTAATAAGCATTGTGTATAAGTTTCATAACATTTGGTTGAGGCAAACTAAAGTTAGAAAACGGAAACAAAAAATTTGTACTTGATCTTAGTTTTGTGGTAATGAATATTGGGTATAGGTTTCATAATGTTTGGTTTGGGCAAACTTAAGTTACAGAATGGAAACTAAAAATTTGCAATCTTTCAATTTATAAAGGGGCATAACTCAATAATGGTTAAAGTGACACTACCCAAATTCAACTTGATCTGTGTTTTATCAGTGGAAGTCAAAATTAAACATTGCATTGTATAAAGCATTGATTGTAGTTGATTCAACTATAATAATGGACAAAGGAAGATAATTACAATTTTAAAAATTACTCGATATTTAGAAGAAAATAAAAATTTTGCAATTTTTCCATTTATAAAGGGGCATAACTCTAGAACAGTTAAAGTGACGCCACCAAAATTCAAACTTGATCTGTGTTTTGTGGTAATAAGCATTGTGTATAAGTTTTATAACATTTGGTTGATGCAAACTTAAGTTAGAGAACGGAAACTAAAAATTTTGAAATTTTTCCATTTATAAAGGGGCATAACTTTAGAACGGTTAAAGTGACACCACCAAAATTCAAACTTGATCTGTTTTTTGTGGTAATAAGCATTGTGTATAAGTTTACTTTAACATTTGGTTGAGGCAAACTCAAGTTAGAGAACGGAAACCAATTTTGAGACGTACGGACGTATGTACGTACAGACGGACAAGGGTAAAACTTAATACACATATGTGTATATATGTCTCTGGGACTACCAAAAGATGTAACCTTGGGGAAGAGGGGATTTACCGAACCACTATTCAATCTAAATCAGTGAACTGAATTATTGTCTTTTGCAGTAGTCCGAGTCGACATCTGTAACTAATCAGCAAATTGATAGTCAACAGTATACATTTTTCAGAATGCAGTTCACAAAGAATCACTGGTGATAGGGGAGTGTAACCGATAAATTGATCCTGAATCAGATAAGATTTTCCAAGGACGTATAACTAACACAATACGTCCTTGGATTTTGCCAGTAACGGAGAATCCCTTTCTTTGAGTGAATATAAATAGTGACGGGGGTCTCGCAAATAAATTTAAATCTGAATTACAGGAACATCGATTAGCAAAGTAAACTTACATATTAATCTCGAAGTTATTTACGGTAAAGACAGACTGTGCTCCCGAATTAAGGTATTATACATTTGTGTATTTTACTCGTGGGGGGGGGGGGGGGGGGGGGGGGGGCACTTCCTATATACTAGGTGATAGGACGTGCCGCTGGAATAGGTCACTTTTTCCAGCTTGAAAGTATGGGAATAGGTGGGGAAAACTATCAGAAATATATGATAAGGTCGATAAAGTTCCAATTACTTGTATACGAAAAGCCCTGTCATTTTTTCACAGCCGAAAGCCTCGCCGTAAGTAAACATTACATACAGAATCTTAGCCTTGAATATTCCACTTTTCCAACACACCCCACGAAAACCAACCAATATGGGAAAAGGGTACAATTTTACCCACGCAATATATGAAAAGGTATACATTTTTAAGATCTAAATTATATGAATAGGGTGGGGTAACAGAACCCCAGCGACACCCCCTATCAATTAAGTATTGAAGTGCCCCCCCCCCCCTCCCCGGAGGTATTTTACT